ATATGATCTGAATGATAATGTGATATTTTCTAAAGGGCAGTTCTGTATGAGGATGTGACAGGTAAAAAGAGAATAGAAAACAAAATTGGTAGTGTTTTATCACTGCAGAAATATCTGCTTCATCCACATCTTGCATGTTTGGTTGTCTAAGGACAGATAGAACTGTAGGTACAAGAATTTACAGTGATGATCAAAGAGGATGACCAAAAATGATAAATAATTTCCCTAAGAGGAAGATGTAAATGTTGAAGTATTCACTGAAGGAAATGGCTGAGAGAAGTGGAGACACTACAGAGCTTTGTAAATCCATGAAGTGTCTGGATAGGAAATTAATGCTTCCAGTCTCTCAAAACCAGAATGGGGAACATTGAACAAAACTAGCATAAAGCAGATCCAGAACATATTCCTCAATTCTCCATGGGGATTTGGAGGAGGGCCCCTAGAAAGAGGGTGTGGTGTTTTGGCCTGTGGACAAGGAGGAGAAGGACGACCTTTGCATCATCCATTCCTGCTGTAGTTACTCTCCCTGATGTATTGATTCTGACCCTTCTAACCTTTAAGTGGCACCAGCTCATGGAATCTCCTTTCTGAATGCCCAGCAGGCTGTTGCTGAAGGGGAGCAGCTGTCATGGCTCTCAGAGAAGAGACTCATGTTGCAGAGCCTGGAATGTCTGCAGCGAGCAATTGCAAAGCTGGAAGATGAAAAGGTGGAGCTCAAGCAACAAAACACTGAACTCAGGAGGACTCTTGAGCAGGTAAAATGGGCTTTCTGTGCCTCCACGGAGCCTCAGGCTCCTCTGGAGCACAGCACGTTTGCCCAGGCAGTGCTTTGCAGTGCCCTGCTTGTTTCCTTGCCTCTCCCTTTCCCTGGTGCAATTCAGGATCTCAGAGCAGAGATCTTGCATTGATGTCCAGAGGTTCTTTTGCCCCATGTTTGCTGACAGGTTTCTGTGACCTTTCTCCCATCCAATGTGCAGGTGGAGCACGAACGGAGGAGACTGAAGAGATGTTTTAGGGGTCGGTTACTCCCAGATGCCTCTGGATTTTCTCTCTCTGAGTCTGAGCAGTACAATTTTCCTACTTCTAGACAGGTGAGAACATTTTCCTTAGTGCAAGGAGGCTTTGGTCATACAGAGGAATGATGGGAAATCCCAGTGGCAGCAGCCCTCCAATGGAGACCTGATAGAAGTTGAATATTGCCTATGCCTGGGACCAAACAGACTGAAAGAACATCCTTTCATTTTCTTCACAGGAGGAGTCTCATGCTCACTGCAGCCAGCGCTTAGCTGAGTTACAGAACCAGGTGAGGAGTAGGAAAAATCACCAAAGGCTGCTGTGGCTGTACTCACAGGTACACCTGTCATGCTGCTACAGCCTGAGTCTTGCTACTGGCAGTCAGCGCTTAGCTGAGTTACAGAACCAGGTGAGGAGTAGGAAAAATTGGCAACAGCCAAACAACATTCTTTATCTTGGTCTTATCTCTGACTTGTCTAAGGATCAGGTGGTGGGGGAGAGAGATGGGTTGAAATTCAGATCACTGGAAGTCATCTGAAAATACCAGAATCATAGAATCATAAAATGTTTAAGGTTGGAAAAGCCCTCTGAGATAATCTAATCCAACTATTAAGCCAGTGTTGTCAATCCCAACACTAAACCATGGCCCAAAGTGCCACAGCCACATATTTTCTGAACACTTTCAGGAACAGTGATTCCTCTACTTCCCTGGGTAGTCTGGACCAGGACGTTCTCCCTTGTTGCCTGTTTCCATTTTCCCTTAGCTCCTTATCAGTGAAGCTTGCATCTTAGCAGAAGTCCAGGGATCTGAGGCAATGCCAGAGACTTGTTCCACTGGGCTTAGTTGCCCACATTGTGCTCTGCTCCTGTATGGAATGGTCTGAAGTTTGGGAGAGTTTGCTCCCAGTCCCTCAGCTGGCTGTCCAGCAGCTCAAGGAGAAGAGTTCTCCAGCAGCTCAGGGGAGCAGCAGTAGCCCTCCTGCTGATGCACAGCCTGTGGAGCAAGGGGTCAGTGGCCCAAATGTGTCCTTTGGAAATGAGAGTTGGGTTCCTCACTGCTGTTGGAACTCACTCTGCTAGACCTGTGGGGGCTGAGGGATGTATGTGGGAAGGGTTTGGCAGCCTTGGACTGGACTTGTTGATCATCTGAGCTCTGTTCAGGGCCAGTCTGGGAGCCTGTTCCTTTCCCCTTCCCCGAGGGCAGAGTGTTGGTGAGGGCTGCAGTTGGAGGCTGTGTCTGCCCTGACAGCCGGTACCGTGGGGCTGTGGATGCTGCTGCCAGCGTGGGCTTGTCTGAGCCGGGCCTTGTGCCTCTTTCAGGTGTCCCTGCTGCAGTCACAGCTGGCCCGAGACCGACAGCACCGGCAGAACTACATTGAGAGCTGTTCAAGGACCAGCCAGGAGCTGTCAGACCTTCACCAGGAGCTGTCCTGCTCCTTTGCAGCTGTGCTCAAGGAGCCCAAAGCTGCTGTTCTGGAAGAAGAGACTCGGAAGCTGGATCGGTCTCTGAGCCTTAACTCAGCACGGACATCCCTGACCCATCAGTCTCTGGAGAGAACCCCTGAGCATTCAAGAACCAGACCTGCCAGAAGTGATGATGACCTGAGGTAACAGTACCTCTGGTCTCCATTTGAATGGAAGGATTTCTGCTCAGATAAGGAGCTCGTGGATGTGAGAAATGGGATCAACTCTTCAGGGCAGGGCTTCTCCCTGCCTTTAGCATCTGTTGGTCTCATACCTTACGTTGAGGATTAGGATCTATGAAGCCTTATTTCATGAAGTAGATGACTTCTGGGGCCAAAATGTGAATATGTGAAAACAACAATATAGGTAAGGAGAGAGAATGATGTGTGGAGAAGGAAGCCCAAACAAGAAATGAATAATCCCTTAACAGTAAGACTTGTGGGTGACCTCTGTCCAAGGGCAGCAACTTAAAATAAAAGGACACAAAGAGTGCGCTACAAACAGTTAAACTAACACAAGTTTGTGGTGTTTGCGTTTGCAAACATCTCCTAGGAACAGACATTTTAATTTTTTTTTTAATAAAATTTTTTTCAGAAAAAAATGATACTCATTTTTACTGGCACAGGGCGGCTATTGTGAGCTCTTACACCATTTCCCTTCTTGAGGGCAGAGGTGTTCCCTGCAACAAGTAACGGGAATTTGAGGTGCTGTCAAACAAAGGGGTGAAGAGTGCACAGCAGGGATCAAAGTTCAGTGAGAAATGGGGCTTCGCTTCTCCCTTTTCTTCCCTTTTCCCCCCGAAAGCCCTGGTGGCTTTGCCCCAACAGCCAGCCCAAGGGAGGGCTGCTCTGCACAGGCTGTCGGTGCCCAGCTCCAGCCCTGCCACAGCCCAAGGCCGTGGATGCCATGGGAGGGTGTCCTGGGCAGGGGGAGATGCTCTCCAGCAGTGGCTGAATCCCCTCACTCCAGTGCTGCCCACACTGCTGGGGATGCAGCCCAGGACATGGATGCTTCCTGGGCCAGTGCAGGGAGAGGTGTCCTCTGACTCTTATCCCCACCTATCAGCCCAGCAACCCTGTATCTAGGGTCTCTAGGTCATCTGTAGGGTCTCTGAGGAGCTGGCCAGGCTCAAACACAGCTGAAGGAAGCTGTAATCCTCTGCTTGGACCCCTCTTAGAGCTGCTTTCCTGTCCTAAATCCTCTTTTCTAGTTCCTCCAGGACGTAGAGTAGGATTGAGGCTGGATGTCTCACCTCTCACCACCAAGTCCAGGGTGTTGCTGACAGCAGACCATTCTCTGGAAGCATTGATGGTGTAGCACTGGCAGCTGTAGCGGCCGCTGTCACCGTTCTGCACGTGGGAGAGGTTGTAGTCACCTCGTTCCCTTGACAGTAGCTGGGCTCGGATCTGCCCCTCCAGGTACAGGTAACAGCTGGTGCTGGGGTGTGTGGAGCTGCAGCGGAACATCACATCAGCTCCTGCAATCACCTCGTGGCCAGGCAGGACAGAGAGGTGGGGTCTGGGGAGATGGAGCTCTGTGGGGACAGGAGAGGGAATGAGAAGGTGCAGAGAGCTTTGATGTGGTGCCAGGAGCTCCAGCATCTCTGTGAAGCCACCAGCTGGCTCAGGCAGAAGTGAAGATGGTCCCCACCTCTCCAAGCCAGGGAAGAGGAGGAAGAACCCTGCCCATCATGGAAATGGCTATGGGCATCTTGGTGTGCCCTGGGGCATGTGACCCCATAAGAGGGGAAACAGCATCTCTCTTACCTGCATCCCCCACCATGGCCATATTGCCAGGTAGCTCCCACAGCCACATCCCCATGGCTATGGCCTGATGGCCATGTCCCTTGCCCCATAGCCATGGTCCCCTCACCACCCATGTATGTCTTCCTGCTCCTCTGCAGCTGCTATTTCTGAGATAAAAGCTGTATTTTCCATGTGTGCAGCAGGGAATCAAAACTGTTGGGCCAAGAGAAGGTGCCAAGGCTTCCGTGCAGAGGGGCAGAACAGAGTTCTGGGCAGCACACACTGGGCAGCTCTGGGCAGGCGTCTCCCCGCTGTGCCCATCATGGCCTTCAAGCAGCCAAAGCAGTGAGTGGGTCTGGGGGGTGTCACTGGGGTCACTGGGGGTTTGTGGGGGGGACACAGGGCATGGCTGGAGCGTTTTGGGGTCACGGGGGGCTGTTGGTGGGGCAGGGGGCTCAAGGGGTGGTGGGGAGAACTGAAGGGTGACTGAGGGAGGTGGGGACTGCAGCGGCCAGAGCTCACAGGGAGGGGGTTTTGGGGGCTGCTGAGTGTCTTGGCTTTGACTGGGAGAGAGAATTTTCTCCCCAGGAGCTGCTCCAGCACTGTTTGGGATTCAGAGTAGGAACAATGTTGGTAACACACCGAGCTGGAGCCCCATCGAGTTCACTCCAGGTCAGACTTCTCAGTGTCCCATGCACGGCCAGCAAGAGGGAGCTGGCCAGGAGACCTGACCCCAACTGGCCAGAGGGATATTCCGGACCACAGAACTTCTTGCCCAGTGTAGAAACTGGGAGAGGTTGGCCAGGAGCCACCGATTGCCCCCGGGGGATGGGTGGGGCATTGGTCAGTGGGTGATGAGCGACAATTGGGCATTGCTGGTTTTTCTTGCATTTAATTCCGTTCTCTCTCCTTTTCACTGGTCAAAGTAGAAGTAGTAGCAACAATATAAATATATTTAGTTGTGTTTCAATTATTAACTGTTCTTGTGTCAGCCTGTGGGCTTTACCTTTCCCTAATTCTCCCCCATCCCACCAGAGCAGCGAGCTGCTGCGTGGGACTGAGGGCTGGGGTTAAACCAGGACGGTCCCTACTGGTGCTCAGCTGGGGCACAAGGAGTTGAGATAACAACACATCTGAGCAGGGTGTGTTAAAACAATGTTGTTGTAAGCATCTTTTGTATTTATTTCATAGCTGTGGGTCACAGTTTGCTCTTGGAGTTCCTGCCCATGCGCTCACAGGTGCATTTTATAAACCCCTTCCTGGTGTGTGCGTTCCCGTGGGAATGTTAATCCGCCCTGGCTCTGGGCTAAGGTTACCATTCTGTCGGGGTTGGTAACACCGGGCTGTGGTACGAGAGAACGGCTGGAGCTGAATCCAATCTGCCGGCTGTGCTCAGCATTGCCGTCCCCGCTGGATTCCGGGAGCCATCCAGTGGGATCTGTAAAGAATTACAGCTTTAGGCTTTTCTGCGAGAGCCAAGCCATGAGACAAAGTCTGCCCAGGTGTTAAGGATTGAGTGGGAGCTTCAGACAAACCCTGCCCCAGGCTCAGATTTTGGCAACAGTTTGAATTTAGGTGCCCCCACCTAAATTGCTTCAGCCTGCAAGTCCTCAAGAATGGCTGATCAGGTCTGTTATAAAATGAGTTATTTATTGAAGAGACAGGAGGTAAGAGATAAAAGACCTTAAACAGAGTTACTTACTGCACAGGTTAAAACAAAGAACTACTGGTAGATTACATAGAACAGTGCACGACATTATGGTACCTATACTATAGCTAGCAAAGAAATAGTAAAGGTTAGGAGACAATGTAATTTACTACCAAATTGATGGTGTACAGAGTCCTTTCACTCAGCCCTTGAAGGAGAAACTGCAAGGCAGAATCTCAACTCTGGGTTCAGAGTGAGAACAACATATTTCCAGGGAATGTGCAGAAAAATTCTGCTTTGTTCAAGTTTGATACAGCTTTCATAGTTTGTAAGATGGAGTGTTTGTCACTCAGAATATCTTTCCAAATCTCACTTCCACAACAAGATGTTTACTGTCAGCTACAAGTGTCACTTCCATGTCTCCTGATGAGACAAGCATTCTTAACAGAGTTATTTGACCAATTAGCAAGAACAAGCAACAGATAAGCTCTTATGGCAGGGGAGATGCCCTGCTACACCAGGGCACTCTGCTGAGGCTTTTTTGGTTTCTTACAGGCAAAACCCAGGAGATGCATGACCTGGGCTCTGCTCCAGCTCTCAGGCAGCCCTGTTGGTAAGGAAACTTCCCTGTTGGAGCATCCCAGAGACACTCTGGCAGTCGCACTCCCACCACCAGACTGTTCCTGGGAACAGCATGTTGGCTGGGACCAAATTCCCTTCACTGCGGGTGGCTCAGGTGAGCCCAAGGGTGCCCCCACTGACTCCCACACTCTCTCCCCTCTCACACAGTCAGACCAGGTTTCCCAAAGCAGAGTCTCACATGTCTCATTCCACAAAACAATTTATTCACGGCGCAAGAACCCAGAAACAGCTCAAGCCAGTGCCCTCAGGGAGGGACCTTGGACCTCTGGGCTGTTACACCTTCACAGTCCAAGCACAGCAAAGTCTCAGCTCTTCCTCCCGAGGCTTGACATCTGCCCTGTCTCTGGGTGGCCACTGACCCGGCTGTGGCACAGGTCCCCAGGCTCCTTGTCCTGCCAAGGGTCAGCAGGTCATGGGCTCTTGCCTCGGGCTCCTGCCAGCCAGAGCTCAGCCTGGAGCTGGCACTGCAGCTCACCCCGAGCTACCTGCAGCAGGTGTATTCCTCAGCACCTGTGCTTTGCTGCCGCCAAGGAACTGCACACGGGGCCTCCTGCTCGGCCTCCTGGCACCGCACGCTGGAGCTGCCGGAGCTGCCGGAGCGCTGCCCCAGGTGCGGGTGTGTGTGAACACGCTGTGGGGTCACGGCCCTCGTGGCTGAGCAGGACATGTGGCACAGGGAAACTGAAGTGTTGCCGATGCTGCTCCTCCCCTTGCCAAGCTGGAGAAGAGCTGCAGCTGGAGCGTGTGCCAGAAACAGCTTGGGGAGCAGAGGAACACCGTCCCTGGGCTGTGCTCCTCACTGAGAGCCCCGCGGTCATCGCTGCACCTCCAGCAGATTGCTCTGCCTGTCTCTTGCCTTTGTGCAACGAGCGAGGCTGGCAGGGCTCGGCAGTGTTCCCCAAGGAACCAGCCGGGCTGCAGGAACGGGCACCGGAGACCTCACCAAATCCAACCAAGAAGGCCTAGGAAGTGAGAATGTCACCAAACAGGACAACAGAAACTTACCCAATACCAATTTGATGTGAATAAGCACACACTTCTTTATTAAAAAATCGCTCAGGCTACTCACGAGTCTTCACAGAAGTATAGTGAATGCTGTTTATTTCTATCTTTAGCACACCTTTTATAGGGTCTGACAGGTTCCACGGGCTTAGCAAGTTAATATTGGTTAATACATATGGTTTACATTCTTTCCCCAATACACAAGGATATTATTTTGCTTCATTCTCTCTGCTTTTACTAAAATATCATGCCCACCTTGTGTTAAAATATTCTCTAAACTTCTTCACTTCTTTATTCAAGCACTGGGAACACAGGGAATAACTCCTCCAGAAATGTGTTCCACTTAACAAAACCCATCCAATTTATATATTTTTTCTACTCAATTATTGTTATATATGTTTTTTTATGTACTATGCATACTATGCCCACTCTTAAATTTAACCTTTCCATTCATTAGTTCTAATACTTAATAACTTCATAAATATTCTTAATCTAAAACAACCCTGGATCATCTCTCCTGAGGTCTACTGAT